ATTTAATTAACTGAGCCATTGAGCAAACTCTTCGGTCTTTTTTGTGGTCAGCAAAAAATAAAGACAAACCAAAAAAACCTACAGATGTATGAAACTTGAGAGGACATATCTGCCAAGACAGCTGCCAATGTTGTCACTAAAATAAGGTAACACCACACCACTTCTGGTAAGAAGAGAAGCTGGAAATCAAAACGTCAGCTAGCAAGGTCCAAGAGATGGAAAAGTACCAGCATACAAACCAGATTCACAATCTCAGATTTAGACACAGATGCAGAATTCCTTCCATCATGATAATTGCTCAAGAGGGAAATATTGGGAAAATACATTCTCTGGTGCAATCAAAACACAAGGGATCAAAAGTGGTATTAATGAAAATAAAATTGGCTGTTTAGTAAACTTACTGATAATTCCTCCTTTCATGACACGGGCTTCGTTAAAGCGGTACCACTGATGGGCCCCCTTCTCTAAGGTGCTGAGTGACCTCAGCATCCAATTCAGTGAATGGAAGGTAAAAACACCAGGCACTTTAGAGGATTGGATCCTAAAAGAGCAGTATTTAGTAATCTGTTAAGTACGGCTTGATTTTCCATTTGTGGAAGATAATCTCCAAGATAACAGTACGTGTTTCCAGCATTTTCAATGGCAACAGTACTTGCTGTTCTCCATTAAACTTGTGCATGAGGACAGAAAAGTAGAGTAACCATTTAAAGAGAATTCTTTCAGTTGAGAAAAAGAGGTCCAATAGAAATTTCTTTTTCATGTCCATTATTGCTTTTTCCACTCATCTCTCAATCATCTGTGTAGTTTTAGCCCAAGAATGAATGAATACATACATACATACATACATACATACATACATACATGTGACGGGTTGGATCACAGAAACCCCCTTTGGGACTGCCGTCGAGACTACCGCTGAACCCATTCTTCCTGCCAGCTTGGGACTTCAGTGCCCTGCCTGGTTTGGGCCAGACATGCTAGCCTGCTACAAACACAGACCCAGGTCTGAACAACGTCCCCCAAAAGCTGCAGGCTTAACTGAAAACAGCTTAAAAAGTGTTCCTGTCTCCAATACTCAGATGCCCAGCTCCCAATGGGGTCCAAACCTCAAATAAATCCATTTTACCCTGTATAAAGCTTATACAGGATAAACTCATAAATTGTTCGCCCTCTATAACACTGATAGAGAGATATGCACAGCTGTCCCATCCCCGTCCCCCGGTATTAATACATACTCTGGGTTAATTAATAAGTAAAAAGTGATTTTATTAAATACAAAAAGTAGGATTTAAGTGGTTTAAAGTAATAACAGACAGAACAAAGTGAATTACCAAGCAAAATAAAATAAAACACGCAAGTCTAAGCCTAATACAGTAAGAAAGTAATTACAGATGAAAATCTCACCCTCCGAGATGTTTTAATAAGCTTCTAACACAGACTGGACGCCTTCCTAGTCTGGGCACAATCCTTTCCCCTGGTACAGCCCTTGTTCCAGCTCAGGTGGTAGCTAGGGGATTTCTCATGACTGCAACCCCCTTTGTTCTGTTCCACCCCCTTATATATCTTTTGCACAAGGCGGGACTCCTTTGTCCCTCTCTGGGTTCCCACCCCTCCTTCTAAATGGAAAAGCACCAGGTTAAAGATGGATTCCAGTTCAGGTGACATGATCACATGTTAGTATAAGACTTCAAACCCTCATTCCTCCCAGCCTGACTCACAGGAAGACCTGCAAGCAAACAGAGCCATCCACAGTCAATTGTCCTCGTTGATGGAAGCCATCTAGATTCCAAATCACCATTAATGGCCTACACTTTGCATAACTACAATAGAATCTCAGAGTTATATTTCATATTTCTTGTTTCAGATACAAGAGTGATACATTCATACAAATAGGATGACCACACTCAGTAGATTATAAGCTTTGTAATAATACCTTACAAGAAACCTTTTGCATGAAGCATATTCCAGTTACATTATATTTACACTTATTAGCATATTTTCATAAAATCATATAGAGTGCAACGTCACAATACATACATAGACACACACACCGGCATGCACACATACAAATCAAACATTGGTTAATTTAAGTGGGAGTTGCATGGTCTAATTGAGGGAATGAATAAGAATTTGATATAATTGCAGTTAAAGTTGTAACGGAGCTTCCAATCTTAGGCATGGTCTAAGCAATGAGACAAGGAATCAGAATGTCTTGTGATCTGGTCCCAGTTCTGAAAATGAATAAATCACTTAACTTCCTTATTTCAACATCCCTATTTTGCAGTGGGGGAAGCTATAGATTTACATATTTATCTGCCTCATCAGGTTGTTGTGAGGATGAATTCATGAGTGTTTGTGTTGCAGATGGGGATCCTCAGATGGAAGATACTAAAGACATGAAAATTATCATCAGAAAATAGGAACATATGTTTAATTTTCAAATGGCAGCCTAATGTTTAAGTACAAATGGCTGAGAAGCCTCAAAGAGTCAAGTACCTTCTTCAAATGGAAACAATCAAGTCCTTGTAATAGTAAAACTAGGGGATTTTCTGTTAGCGGTGGAAAGATACCAGTCGTGGAAAAAATTACACTCGCCAAAACAGCACTGAGACTAAACTTAACACAAGCCACAGTATAAAAACGAAAAAGGCCTGTATTGCTTTTGCCAACTCTTACAATTTTATTGTGAGCATATGGTGTTTGTTTTATAGCCCCAGTTCCTGGAGTTTTGTTGATTATGAGAATCTCAGCTTTCATTTAAAAAAAAAAAAAGAAGTTTCTAGACCTTATATTTGCAGACAAGCTTGAGAACATGAACGCTGAATAGAAAAGAAACTAGAAGGAAAATAAGTGAATCCCTATTTTTTAAAAATCCCATGGTTTTTAAGGAAGATGCATGATTTTTTTTAATACTTTTGGCAATACTTTAAGCTCTTCTTTGGGCAGAGACCATGTCTTCATACAGGTTCTCAAAGCATCTCACACAATGGGCCCATGATCTTGACTGAAGCATCAGGATGTTATTGTCATATAAATAATAAATACTAAAAATAATGAAAATGATATTAACTTAACTACAAAGTAGTGGCCACACTTTGAAAGCTATTAATGGTTCTACTAATATCCCCCCTTATAGGTACATGAAAATCTATCTCAAACCAGTACACACTTTAAACAAATGTGTAACCAATTTTAAGTACCGAAATAAATGGTCTGATTTTCAAAAGTGCTGAGCACCCATTGCAATAATCTTTTACAAAATATGCCTTGTGAGGTATCATTTGAAAACTAATAACTCACTGGTCAATAATACCATGATGAAATGTGTGTAGCAACATTATATGTAAAGTCAGGAATTCCCCCTGAATAATGTTGGTAGCGCAGGTTCAAACCCACGTAGCCCCAATTAGGACTGGTCAAGCCAGTCTTAAACACAGAAATGTGTGTTTACCTCAGTTTACATATAAGTTGTGAACAGGGTCCTCAGATATCAAGAGGGGGAAGATAGGAGACAAGAAAGATCTGCTTTTCAGCAAACAGAGGTGAGAAGAAACAGTGTGCGTCCTCTTTCACCGTCGCCTTCTTTACCCTTGGAATGAACTTTAACTAGGGGTAAGGTAACCCTCAGAAAAATGCATTTCAAAGTGTGACTGAACTTTAAAAGTGAGGGGCAAAAACACACCAAGTTCTCTCTCCCTATCCATCTCTCTTTTTCACCTAAGATGACAAAAGAAACAGCCGTTGGACTTTGGGAGCAGATCTTGGCCTGAGAGTTGGGTCAGCAATGTTAATGGAAAAACGTGGTAAGGGACTTCACCTTGAACAAAATCTAATTTGTTAAGTTTAGTACTAGGAAGCATTTTATCTTTATTTCTCTTGTAACCATTTCTGACTTTATGGCTTATATTTTTACTCAATTAAAACATATCTCCTTGTAGTTAAATGCATTTGTTTTATTGTTTTATTAAAATTAATCCAGTGTTGTGAAATGTTTGCATAATTTCATTTAAGGTAGCAAACTGTTGTATGTTGATCCCCGTAGAGAGGCAATGGACCTAATATGTCTGGGTTGTCCAGGAGAAGGCTGGACAGTGCAGAACACACAGATTTGGGGGGAAATTTGAGACTGGGAGTATGTTTGGATCACCCTGTAATTAATTACCAAGGCTGGTGGAAGCCAGAGTGTGGCTGGTGTTTGCTGTCAGGCTGCTGGGGTCAGAGTTGCTGGACCAGAGCTGTAGACATATACACACTCGGGGTGTGACCTGCATGCTGGCAGGCTGTTTGTGAGCGGCCCAGGTGGGAGCTACAGCTGCAAAGCATTGTGAGGCACCCCAAGTTGCAGGGCAAGTGGTGACACAGCCCCTCACTGGTCTGGATACTCCCACAAATCCCACTGGCTTCAGTATGAACAGCAGGTACATTTCAGCATCCTGGCCATCAGACCACATATTTAGGTGTCCAGTTATGGATTTAGTTGCCTGGCTCTAGGTACCCAAGTTTGACATTTTGATTTAAGAGGTCTTTATTGGAGGAGAAGTCTATATTACTGGGAGTACCAGCTAGTATTTGTCAGTGATCATTCCAGTGCAAACTATTTTAAGACAGATGTTAAGAGCCAGATATTTCAAGAGTTCAATGCTCACAAACGGGGCCAGATTTTCAGAGGATCAGCTTCCATCTAGGCACCAAAATAAGGTGCTGTGAGAGCAGCTGGGTGCTGAATCCGGCCCTTATTTAGGTGGGCTGAACTCTTGGAAGCTGAACTCTTTTGAAAGTCTGGTCCCAAATGTGGGACCACTTACAAGACTCTTTTTTCAGTAACAAAGGAAGCAATGGTGTAGAGATCAAACTAACTCCTATGTCAGCTGTTGGGTTCTGTGTCCCTCCCCAGCTCCTGCTAAATAAACTGTGCTGTTAATCTGGAGGCTGAAGTCTTACGCCACCACCAAACAATGTACTTGGGATCTCACTGTAGCCTCAAAAAAGGGAATACGTACCCTCAAATCTGGAGAAAAGTTGTCTGTGGAGGTGGAGACAGAATCCGATGACACAACCGAAGCAGATTTTGTATGCACTGACTGGTCCGAGTGAGAGGTGGAAGCACTACAAAGAGACAAATACACGTCAGATTTGTGCATTTCTGAGTCTAACTAAAGCGAAAAGCCTCAATTTCAAACATTTATATAAGAGAGGTTACTGTGTTACTACGGGATAAAAACCAGGCAGGATCCTGAGTGCAAGACACCCCCGGCCTGACCACAGATTTACCATGGAAGCAGGGAAAATGAAAGCAGAACAAACGAAAAGTTTCTTCCATCAATTGTAACTTCGTCCCTTTGGGTTTTAGCGTAACTCTCATGCACTACAACAGGCTCTTCCCCTAGATCCTCGTACATCCCTGGTGACATGCAGCACTATTTGACAAACTATAACATCATGGCATCATCCTGTTTTTCTATATTGCCCCTCCAGTATGGCTGTGCATAAATAAAATTAGTACTGTTGCACTGTATATTCACGCTGCAACGTTCCCTATAACCTTAACAGCTTACACCTAGCATTAGCACTCCTGAAATGCTGTGCAACTGTAGCAAAAGGTCCCAATGCAGCAATGAACTCCGTATGGGTGGAACCTTGTGTCCACATGGAGCCCCACTGACTTCAGCGGGGCTCTGAGTAGGGAGAAAGAACTTGCACACACAGCTTGCAGGGGTCAAGCCTAGCTTCGGCCAAGGGCCAAAGTCCAGCCTTAATGTCACCATCAACTGTTGTATTAGTTGAGCACGTGACATCCCATGCTGGAAACATCTAGGTGTAGGCTTTCGGATAGGTCTGGAGACCTGTCTCACAGGTTGTTTTTTTCCCCCTGCTACTTGACTCTTTCACTGGTAAAACAAACAAATATCAAATTACAAAAAACATTCAATTTCCCTGCTTTCAAGTCTGGGGAAATCCTACACTGGTGACATTTAAAAAAAAAGCGAGGGATTACTACAGCAAATGTGGCTCTGGCTAGGAGTAAACACTTTGGCTACAAGGATAAAAATGCAATGGTAACTTTTTATCCTACCACCAGGTGATGAATAATTATTTTCATTTGAAGTTTCAGAAATGGACTCAAGAATAAATTATTTAAAATAAGAATTTAAGACACAATTCAATGTGGTTTATTTACTGTACACCATTGGACTGCCAATCACTTCATTTCCAAACTACTTAGTTCTGGGAATTAATATACACTAAGGCAATGCTGTATTTTGGATGTCATCATAGTACCACTTGTATATCCAGTGCTTCACAGACAGTAAATGAAGCAAAGTCCTGGAAAAAAAATAATGTAAAGCCCAATCCCACAACATTCCCTCACGTAGGCATGGCCTTACTTGTGCAAGGCCTTGTCTACACAGCGTGCACTGATTGGCTTATACCAGTTTAGTTAAACCAGTGCAAACCCCTTGATGGACCCTCTTAAATCAGTTTAAGCCTGGTTTATATCAGTTTGGCTTGCGCCTTCCAGGGATTTACAAAGGTTTAACTAATTTGGCTTAAAAAAAATAATAATCAGACCTTTAGTTCATCTGGTGCGACTTTGTGTGTGGACAAATCCTGAGTAAAGGTTCACAGGATCAGGTCTTTAGACAGACATCAGCTCACTGGCACTGTACGCACCTTGGGCACACAATGCCACCTCTTCTAACTCTCCTCTCCCACCACCTATACAGACTCCTCCCCATGAGCATCAACATTTCAGTTATGGGAGTCATCCCAAAAAGTGTCACTTATATGCAAAAGTCCCTATCATTAATATCACTTCCAGTTCTCCTTTCTTCAGTTCCTTGCATTTGAGTCCAGACCTATATGGTAGGGGCCAGATCCTCCACTGCCTTGCATTTTGTGTCCACTGATGCAAAGTGTAAGTAAAATGCTACCAAATCTGGCTGGTAGAGTTTTAGGCTCATTTTGCACAGGGAGAAATGACTACCTAAGGGACAAGGCAGTGGACATTCAGTTGAGATTGTAAGAGCATTTCGTATTTGTTGATCATGCTTAGTCCCAAATGGTTTTTAATGCAGGTAAATGTTTGCACATTCTAAGCAAAATTTTCAAAAGTGCCAATCTATCATTGGCCTAACATCAGTGACAGCAGAGCACTTTTGAAAAACCTACCCTGCATACACAGCAAACAACACTTATGACATAGCTGGATTAGGCAGCTCTGAAGAGTATACATAGGTTGCATGTGTTTGGCTCAGTGCCTCTATTCTCCTCATCAGTCATTAATACTGAACTGAAATGAAGCTAAGGAACAAACACTGACTTAACAAAGAACTTAAACTCAGTTGGCTCATGACATTCTTCCTCCTATCAGTATCAGTCAGGTTTGGGTTGACATGGCTTCGCTGAGCAAACTAATTAACCTGATGTCCCTTTACACACCACATTTATTACCTTCAGTGGTTTAGCTAACCTGGAGTTCTCCTATGTGGCAAAAAAAAAACCTGAAGCCATGTGGCCTAATACTCCTTGAAGGGAAAGATAGTTTTGCAGCTAACACACAGACCAGGAATGAGAAGAACTGAGATCTGTTCTTAGGTCTGCCACAGACATTATGTGTGATTTGGACAAATTATTTAACCTCTCTGTGTTGTCGTCTCTCCAGCGTATCAAAGCCTTTGCCACCCTGAGATTAGACCACTGTACGGCACTCTGCTTGGGCCCATTCAGAAGTTCCAGCGCTTAGGCTGGAACATGGCAAATTGCCTATCAGGGCCGGATTTCCAATTAGGTACAGTAGGCATGTGCCATGGGGCACCAGCATTTTAGGGGTGCCTAAAAGTTAATACATACAGCTCCCCTGTGGGCAGCCAGGTTCCTGGCACGGGCCGGTGGCTGCCCAGCATGTGGGGCTGGAGCAGGATGAGCGTCCGAGTCAGCCCGCGCTGTGAGCCACGGACGGTCGGGGCAGCTGCTGAAGGAACTGGGAGCATCCCAGCCCTTTCCCAATCTCGCCCGCCTGCTGCCTCTGCCCCATGCAGGGGAGAGAGAGGGAGGAGCGTGGCCAGCACCCCGTTCACCTGCACAGACAGAGCCAGAGCACGGCTGCTGCATCGGGCTGCAGGAGGGATGGAAGACACCTAGGGACCATTCGCCTTGTGGAGAGGTACAGTCCCCCCTTGCATCTCGCCTGGGACAGGTGGGCTGCGCCCCAGCTCAGGCAGGGAGCACCATGCATGGCAGAGGGTCTTGTGCCTTCCTGGGGAGGCTGTGTTTATATTTCTTTTCATTTCATTTTTTACAGAAAACACAAAGGTCAGCTGTAGGCCGGGGGGGGGGGGGAAAGAAGGGGGAGACGCTGAAGAAGATGCTGTGCCTAGTGGCGCATAAGGTGTAAATCCAGCCCTGCCTGGTATGTGGTGTTTTGCACCGGGAGCACATTATACCAGTGTTCTGGGAGCTGCACTGGCAGTCTGTGGGCATCTGGGTTGAGTTCAAGATGTTTGTTTGAACCATTAAATAACATGGGTCTAGGCTACCCAGCAGACCCCCTCTCTTCTTGCTCCACACTACTGCAGTTACAATCAGTGGAGGCACTCGAGGTGGAGATTCCTTAATATGGAACAGAGAGAGCTGCTGCCCGGGCACTCTTTATGAGGGCCCTTAGATTCTACAATGCGCCTTCACTCCCAGGGATTTGTTAGCCTTCCAGACCTACTGTAAAACTGTCCATTTTATGTTTATTTTATTTGTGGGGGGGGCTGAGATGAGGATGTCAGGGAGGAATTTGTTACCTGGGGAATAATGGCAATATGGGATGGGGGTGAATTGTGACCGTACGGATGGGTGGCTGTGGATTTTAATGGTTCTGTGTAATTGCTGGTTTTGAAAATTGGAAGGGGCACCCAAAAAATGGGAGGGCCATGTATGTGTGAGAACTCTAACAGCTAGACCTCAGCCGGTGTAAATCAGCACAGCTCCACTGTAGTCAACGGGGCTACGTCACCATGTGAGGATCTGGCCCCATATAAATAAACCTGTGAAATGGGAACAATTAGATTTCTGACCCCTCACAAGGATGCTGCTCAGCTACATTCACTAATGTTTTCAAAATACCTGGAGCTCTTTGGAAGTGCTAAATATTATATTACTGATCCTTTAGACTGCACCTCAGTCTCCCAAGTACCTCCTAACCTCTGCTCACCCCAAGCTCCAAAACCCAGCTGCTCTGCCTACTTCCTTTTCGCTACCACTATTAAACGGGAACAGAGATCCCCACAGTCATTCAAAGGCACTGCCGGGGAAATGACCAAGAATGACTTTTCAGGGTATTCTTGCTATTTCGATCCTAATTTTTCCCTGCCTACCACCGATGTACAGTCTACTCCTCATCCTGATAATTATATTTTACATTGGCAGAACAGTTAAATGCATTTCTAAAGGCCAGGTTTTTAAACTATAAATTAGACCAAGATTTGTCCAGAGGACGGAGTCTGCAATGCCCTCTTTTAATATTTACCCTCATTATTGAGCCCTGGGCTATGGGGAGCAGATATATGCAATTAATAAGGGAATTATAATGAGAACTAAATTCAGTGGCTCAGCTGTTGGTAGGGTGCTGATCATTACTAGGATTACCCACAAGAGGCTAGATGCTTTCCAAACATAATAAGATGCAGTCCCTGCTCCAAAGAGCTCACAATCTAAAAAAGCAAGCCACACACAAACGGTGAAGGCAGAAATAAAACATATAGTGATTTTTAAAAATGTATCATCAGTTATTTGCTTTGCCCATTTATTTGCCCGTTATTAGTTCACATTCTTGTAGAAGGGATTAGAAGGAGGAGGGGGTTTGGGCCCTCCAGACTCGTTCAGTAAGGGCATTCCATGTGCGGAAGAAAGCATCGATACTGTTTGGAAGAAGCATACAATCTGGCAGTGTGAAGATGGGAAGATGCAATAAGGAATAAGAGCAGATAAGGAAGGAAGGACATAGAAGCTGAAGTTAGTCAAATTATGAAGGACCTTGAAGGTGAAAAAAGAAAATTTAAACTTGATGCAGATTGCCACACTGTTTAATCCAGGGGTCGGCAACCTTTCAGAAGTGG